TGGGGGGGCAGGGGGGAGGTTCACAACCCCCAGTGGGTGGGACTCGGCCCATCTCCTGTGGCCTTCCCTGTGGAATTGGCCGAGGCCGGGCGTCCCTCCAGGTGAGGAGGGGCGGCTGCTGCAGCAGAAGGCCAGGAGACCCTTGCATGGCGCCCTCTCCCTTCCTTTCCAGAACTTTGGGGCCCCCTCCTTTGACGACAAGAAGCTGGAGGTGGTCGCTGTCTTTGGCAGCATCCAGATGGCCGTCTCGCGTGTCATCAACTTGCAGCACCACCGCATTGCCCAGGTGAGGCAGGGCCCACGGCATGCCAGCCTGGCTGGCAGCCGCCTCAGGTCGAGCCTCCCCGGCCATCTCCGGGGAGAAGTGGGGCGGGGCGGGCCCTCCGGGGCTGGGGCGAAGGGCCGGCGGAGGTGGTCGCTGTCTTTGGCAGCATCCAGATGGCCGTCTCGCGTGTCATCAACTTGCAGCACCACCGCATTGCCCAGGTGAGGCAGGGCCCACGGCATGCCAGCCTGGCTGGCAGCCGCCTCAGGTCGAGCCTCCCCGGCCATCTCCGGGGAGAAGTGGGGCGGGGCGGGCCCTCCGGGGCTGGGGCGAAGGGCCGGCCCAGCTCTGTCCCAGGACGCCCTCCTCACGTCTCCCTTGTTCTCCCTGCTCCCGTGCTTCGGCTGCCAGTGCCGGATGGTGAAGATCACCATCCGGGGAGATGAGGGAGTCCCGGTGCAAGTGGACGGAGAAGCTTGGATCCAGCCCCCAGGCATGATCAAGATCCAGCACAAGAACCGGGCCCAGATGCTGACGAGAGACAGGGTGAGGAACTGGCACGGATCCTGCTGTGGGGAGCAAAAGAGCAGGAGTGGGGCTGACGCCTGCCTTCCTACACCCCCCCCCCAAGGGCAGCCCGTGGGCCTCTTGCTTAGCTCAGTTAGTTTGTGGAGGAGGGCAGGGAGCGCAGGAGGGCAGGGCTTCATCGGCCCCTACCCACGCTGGGAGTCACACCCAGCAAGGGGATGCCTCGTAGCCTCTGGCCACTCCGTCCTTGAGCCTCTGAGGCCAGTTTCCGACGGCGGGTATTCCATAGCCTGCGAGGAACTTGGGTGCACCTCCAACTGCTTGGGAGCACGGAGCGGTTGGCTCAGCCTCAGAATCTGTGGACAAAAACGTCCGTTGATGTGGCTCAACATCTGGTGACATGGGATGGTTTTCCACAAGCCCCGTTGCCGGAACCAGCTGGGAATCTCAGAGCAGCTTAAATATTAGCCAGATTTTATTGGGGTTGAGGGGGGGGAGGGAAAACAGCGGTGGGGTCCATGAATAAGAAAACAAGGTTCTGGCCTGAGCAGAAAATGTCTTCTTGTCCCTTAAGGATTACAAAGAAGGGAAGCTTTCGGGTTTTCCAGCCGGCCGAAGCCCATGGGGGGGGAACTTGTCAGGGTTCGAGGTGCCCTCAAACGAGCACAGATTAATACAGCTGCCTTTTGGGGGGGGGGGCTCCGTGCCGTGTCTCAGAGGCGCGGCCTCAGTGCTGCCATAGAAGAAATGGGCTCAGTTCTGGGCTCACGGCGTGAGTCTCTCGGGACCAAGCCCGGCTGCAGGCGAGCGAGGTCCGTCCCGCTTCCTGGAGGGGAGAGTCACGGATGCCGCCGTGTCTCTTGGCAGGCTTTTGAGAGCACCCTCAAATCGTGGGAAGACAAGCGAAAGGGGGAGGGCTACCGGGCAGCCTCGCGCCCCCGCCTCAGCTCCCAGCAGTCCATGGAATACCTGACGGAGGAGGAGTCCTCGCAGCTCCAGCGCTTGGCCCAGGCCACGGAAACGCTCATTGACAGGTGACCCATCTCGCCTCGTCCTCGGGGGTGGGGGCTTG